TTCCCTAGGCCTTCTCTCTTGATATCGTTTCTCTTTTAACTTAGTATATTCCTAGTTTTCTTTAATTTCTTTGCAATTAGAAATAGAAAAACACAAATCAATCTTTTCTCTCTGAGTTAAACAGGAATTATTCTCATACTTAACAATCCACCATAGTACTTGAGGTTTGACATCTTTAATATAGCCATATCCTATAAGGATTCGTTCTAATGCGAGTGGTTTTATCATTGAAAATCACATCACCTGTCCCCATTTTGTGCTTTATTAGCCCTTTAGCCATGCCCTCAGCTTTAGCAATCTCCTCCAAAACCCTGAACTAAGAGCAGTTACCTTCATAGTCCAAGAACTCCTGGACTTGATAAGATATTTGTAGGTCCAAACTTACCCACAAACTGTTCTTCCTTGCAAAAAAACTTTCAAATATGCTTAAGATTGGAAATTCAGTTTGAAAACTCTAAATTAGGGAAATTTAACCCACAATAGAATCTTGATCTACATGCCACATGCCAGGCCACTTTTGCACTTGTCTTCTTCATATTAACACCAGACCAGATGAAGCATCTCAGAGTCTGATTCACCTAATCAAAGGACTTTCTTAGGAAGCACAAATGCTTTGGACCAATAAAGCAATAAAAATGGATTGAACAAAGAATTAACTTAATAAACATTACATTGCCAACAAAAGACAGAAATCTAGATGTCCACTTCCCCTATCCTTGCTGTGAATTTTTCCACTAGGGTTTGACAGTCTCTAGCACTAATAGCTCTTAAGGATAAAGGAAGGCCAAGGTAAGTGACAAGGTGCCATTACCAAACTGAATTAAGGTAAGAATATCAACTATGGATTGGGGATCAACACTTGTGAAGAATGTAGTACTCTTGGATCTGTTGATGGATGGCCATGGAATGAGCAGAACCGAGTCAAAGTATTAAAGATTGTTTGAACAGAGACAAGATTCTCATTAGACAACACCATAATATCATCAGCAAAAGCTAAATGTGAGATGGAAAGCTTGTTGCATCTCCAGTGATATCTAAAGCTTGGATTAAGGTTGATGGACCTCTTGATAGTAAGATTAAGAACCTCCATGACAATAACAAACAGTAAAGGGAAAATAGGATCCACGGTATAACTCCCCTCCTTCCTTCTAATATTGTTGAATTTTCTATTCTTTACAAATATTTACAAGCTCTTCAATATTTTAGAATCTTCAATACAATACTCCAAGATATCTTCACACAAATATTGAAGACTATAGAATTCAACTCTACTCATGTCATGATAGACATCCTTCTGGCGCCTTATGTGACATATTATCTCTATAAATAGATGGTACATGACCGATATAACTTTAATATTAATGTATTGCAACACACTTTCTCAATGTCACCTTTTGATGCAGCACGTGTTTTGACATGGGACGATACCATTTTGACTTCATTTATTTTAAAAGATTGTAGCCATGGCAAGTGCAACGAGCCATTGAAGTGTACTGCCTTAAAACATTGTTTTTAATCAAAAGGGTATATGAGTGGAAGAAAGCTGAGGTAATCATTTTAGGGAACAAGCGGCGTTGTTAATTTTAAAATATCAATGTCATTTTATGTTGTGAAACAAGATTCATCTCTATGGGACAAGGATGCATGTAGCTTTGATTGGCTTTAAAAGCAAGCCAAGTGGGTCCCAAATGATACTCCAATGGCTCTTATGTGGAAGCTGTTAAAAATTGATATACTATTTTAGAAATTTCTAGAATAGATAAAGCTAAAACTTTAATAGTAAAATTTAGATAGATTTTTTAAAATAAATAGCATGTGAATTATATCCGTATTAGTAAAATCTTGATAAACGGCTTTTGAAAAATAACATATAAATATAAAGTCTAAGGTTTGATTTTTTTAAAAACAAATAATTCATTGGAAGTGTGGGAATATCAATTAGAATATAAATAAATAAAATAATACGTGAATCAAGAACAAGGGCGTAGTCAGAATCTTGAGGTTGGGAGGAATTATAAGCAACATTAATTAGCTAGAACTTTTAGGAAAAAAAATATATATTAAGTAGACAAAAATATTTTACTATTTATTATGTTCATATAAAAATATATCTATTTAAACTTTTTCCAATTTATTTAAATAAAAAAAAATAGTTATTTAAAGAAATTTTTTTATCAAACTTTCTGAACAAACACAAATAAGATTTATGCCAAAATTATAAAAACTTTCAAATAACCAATTAGATTTTAATTTATAAAAAAATAATAATAAATTCATGTATTTTCTAGAGATTAAGAAAATCATAACTAATTAGTCTAATCCAATCCAAATTTAAGAAAGCTAAAAAAAAAAAAAAAAAAACAGACACACACCCACACAAAAATACATATATACATACAAAATTTATATAGAGAGAGGAACAAATTTTTTTTGAGATTAACCTGAATTGCAGTGTGCATAAAAATCATCTACATCGATGAGAAAGAAGTGATTTCTTAGGTCAAATCAATACATTTGTGATATATGTGAAATGAAATAAGGGATTTTTTTTTTCCCCCCCTGAAGTTACATTGAAATAAGGAATTGTAAGGATATAATCTTTCTTTGTGTGTGAATCTTGTCTCTCTACACTCTCTTTCTCTCATAAGAAAAAGGGCAAATAAATTCAAGTTGGGAACAAGACAAAACAAAAAGGTTAAAAGTGTGAATGAAAAACATTAAATGGCAGTGTAAAAATAAGTAATTCAAAATCAAAATATAAAATGTCTTTCAAAACAAAAACTCTCCAAAAATAAATTAACAAAAATAACTCTCTTTACCTACCAAAAAGAAAAAAAAAAAAACAAAAAAAACTTTAAAAAAACATTAACAATTGAAAATTTAACAAAACAATAACTATGATAAAAAAAAACACAAACAAATTAGTAAAATAAGAATTTAGATTCTTCAATCATCGATTTTTGTTAATATTCAAAAATTCAAATGAAATTTTTGTTCCAAATTTTGTAAAAATTAATTTCTTATAGAATTCTTATAGAAGCATTCCAATAAAAATAAATAAAAAGAAAAAAAAAAAAAAAAAAAAAAGTGATGGAAAGAATCATACACGAGATGGAATTTTAGGATAGTAAGGTTATGAAAAGAATCATGTTTGAGTTGGAAGAATTTTAAGATAGTCACGTTATGGAAAGCACTGTGTTTGAATTGGAATTTTAAAATAGCCATATTAAATTTTGATGTGACTTAGTTTTTATGGGGGTTCTCTATAATCGTCAATTATATCATTTTTTTTTAGATTATATATAAATTATCTTTTCTTAAATGTTAATTAAAGAAAGAAGTTTATTTATTTATTTTTTTTTCATTCAAGAATGTCCTAAAGAAAATAAGATGGTGGAAATGAGCTGTAAACAATGGAGGACTTGCCTATGGAAGTCAAACTGCCTCCTCCAACAATAAAAGAAAGTCCCTTTTCTCTTACAAAGCCCACCAAACAACCTAACCATCCAACTCAGCTATACTGGTCAGCATCTTTGTAACAAGATATATTACTTATTAAAAAAAAAAAAAACTATAACAAGACCATATGGTTATATATTCTAAATCTTATTTATTCTTCTTATTCTTAATTACTTTTGATTGATGAATTGTTATAATTAGATCAGCTACTGGAAAATACATCTCTATATATGACTTATAAAGGGCATTATCGTCAGCTTTTCAAACTGGTGTGCCCGTATTCGAATTTCTCTCTTAATTTGTCAGGATTAAAAAAAAAAAAAAAAAAAAAAACTATATAAGTATATAAATCACCATGATTTGAGCTAATAAAGTTTTACAATAAAAAAAAGAAAAAGAAAAAAGAAAAAGAAAAAAAGATATCAATTAATTTTGGCACACAGCTTATAGAAGATGTATAATAAGGGAAATTTTTCAATAACAGATTTTCTTTTTCCTTCAACCCTCTCTAGAAATATATCATTAACACAATTTTGATCCTCATTACATCTAGAATATAATGAAGATTAATTTAAATACTATGTTAATGATGAATTACTGAACACTACACTAAAAAGAAGAGCGCACACACCCACTCTAGAAATATATCATTAACAGAATTTCGATCCCCATTACATCTAGAATATAATGAAGATTAAATTAAATACTACGTTAATGATGAATTACTGATCACTACACTAAAAAGAAGAGCACACACGTACTAGGTTACTCACCGATTGCGAGAAAAGCACGTCCCAAGACACAGAGCTCTAGGGATATTTTTTGGTCAGACAGCAGATACTTACCCATCTTCCGCTACAGGATTTGTTTTGTCACCCATGTTGAACACCCAAAATTAAACAATAAAGTATCTATTCATATACACCTACTAAAAGCATCACTATACTTTCTCTTTTCAGTAGACTACAATACATGTACTAAATAAAGAATGTTGCTACAGAAATAATTAAGTTTTCAAGATTTCAGACTGAACGTCCATTAATGCAGAAGATCTTCATGAAATTAAAGAATCTAAACATGCAAGAAGATGAGAACGATTGATTTTATATATATATATATATATGCTATCTACTGAAAACAAAAAAGAATTATGATCTTTATTTTTATTATTTTCTTATTATTATTATTATTATTATTATTATTATTTTCCCTTACTAAATAAAGAGATCGATATGAGAACAAATTAAGTAGCTAGCATTTTCATGAGGGAGAAAAATGAAAAGCTATTTGGAATGAGGTCAAAGCTAGAGAGCAGTGTTTGGCAACAAATGTTTGCAATTGTTCAAAGAAATCACAGGAAGATGTGTTGTGTTTGGTGTAATGCAGAAATATATGAACACTAGTAGTGCAAGAATGAAGAATAAATATTAATAGCCAAAAAAAAATAGCCAAACCCAAATTAAAAAGAAAAAGTAAGTAAGAAAACACTAAATTAAAACACATCAAGAAGGAATTAGGGTATTGAGTGGGTGTAAGAGTACCTGGAATCAGTGGAATACTCAAAGAGCTTTCCTTTCGTAGAGAAGACAATCAAAGCAACATCAGCATCACATAAAACGGAGATCTCGTGAGCTTTCTTCAACAACCCGGATCGACGCTTCGAAAACGTCACTTGCCGACTAATCTTGTTCTCGATCCGCTTCAACTGAACCCTTCCTCTCCCCATTTTCTTTTACCCTTTCTTCTTCTTCTTCTTCTTGATTCTTGATATATAATTATATATATATATATATAGTACTACTTAACAAGAACAGAAGAAACCCTAAATTTAGTTCATTTTTTAGGAAGAAACAATAAAGTGGAAAGAGGGTATACTTTTTTTGAGTTGGTTTTTGATTTTCAGTGTGTTCAAGGATGCTGTATAAAAGCAAAGGCTATCTTTGTGGGCATATATAAGTATGTAGAGAGAGAGAGACACTTGAAAAGCGGAGAAAAGAGAAAACAATATGATAACGTAAAACCAGAGTGGTTTTTGGGTGTTGCGTTGTCGAGTTGCCATTGGTGGAAGGACTGCTTAGTCGTTACTGTCTCGTTTTGGGCCACAGGTTTGGACAGTGCCTACATATATGTTATGTAGTCGTAGTCATCTATGGCAATGCTTTGTGTTGTTCTGCTGACGCCGCTTATTCTTTCACCTGAATTTGCTACTATTTTTAATAGTTAAAATACATATACATTTTTATATGTATATGTTTAGTGTTTTCATTGGATATGATCATCAATATAAACAAATTTTTTTATTTTATATATATATATATATTTTCAAGTTAGTCGTATAATGAGAATGAGAAATCGAACCTAACACTATAGAGTGAGTGCAATTAATTCTTTACCGCTCGAACAACACCCATTAAGATAAACACTTAAATAATCCATTTTATTAACAAATTTATCGTTTAATATTACAAACATTGATCCTCAGCTAACCAGTGTAAAAAATGTATTAAAAAATTTGAACCTTTTGTTGACAGTGTCCAATGGTGAATGGTCGAGACCATTGGTTTAGGAAGATCTAAAAATTTATCCAACCTAAATATATAGCTACCAAGTCTAGGCCAACCATCAATAATCGTATGCATGATGGTACAGAAATTGAATTATGATTTCTACCCCTAATTAACTGTGTATTTTTCATTGAGGAAGTTTATTGGTATAAATGGGAACACCAAATTTAATATACACATTCTCTCTGATAAAGTAACCTATGCAAATGCTTTGTGTTCTGCTGGCGGGCGCTTATTCTTTCACCCTAATCTGTTAGCATTTTTAATGGGTTATAATAAAGATTCAAGTGCAGAAAACACTTTTAAAGTATATTTACAATGCGTGCAAAAAACACTTATAAAATTTTAATTTGGTTCAAATAAGTCCTTATAACCAATTTAAACATTAAATTTATTAAATTACTCTTACTAAACTATTTTATAAAATATATAAAAATAAATAATTTTGTAAAATGACAAAAAATGATACTATTAGAAGATGTCCCTCTCGTGTAAAAAATACCCCTAAAATTTTAATGGTACAAATAGGTCACTCTAACAAATTTAAATTCTAAGTTGACTAAATTACTCTTATTGAATCATTTTATAAAATATATAAAAATAAATAATTTTATAAAATGATACTATTGGAGGACGCCAGCAATGGACAAGTAAAGATAAAAATATAAAAGAAAAAAAAGTATAAAAGAAAAGTAAAGATAAAAATAGAAAGAAAAATAAAAAAAAAAAAACAAAAATAAAGTGCAAACTAAAGTAAACAAAATTTTTCCAAACTCCGAAAACTAGTGCACATTGATATAAGGATTTTTTTTTTTTTTTGGTTAAATAGTGTTGGTACGAAAAAAAAATAATAATAATAAAGAAAAAAAAAATTAGTAGAAAAGAGTAAACTAGAATCTCAAAAAATTCAAATCCTTATTTTACAAATTCTCAAAGTTAAAAAAAAAAAATTTACATTAAAATTAAAAATGTTTAGAGATATATATAAAGAAAAAAGTTTCAAAAATATATATATAAAGTAATGTGCATATAACACCCCTATATTATGAGATTAGTAACATATATATTTTCTTAGGCATTTTCAAAAGAATAATAGGGCAAAACCGATATTATAAAACATACTAATTTATGTCAAGTGGAATAAAAATACTACTTTTCTATACTTGTCCAGATATATATATATATGTACATTTATCTACGATGTGTAGGTTTCGAGGACATAAATTGAATTATGATTTCTACCCCTAATAACCATTTGTTTTTATTGAGTGGTTTGTTGGTCACAATAGGAATACCAGCCAAAATTATTATGCACCTCCTTTCTGGTAATAAATGTAAGACCCCGTACATTCCTTTTTAAATTTTTTTTTTCTTTTAAAGAATAAGTAATGATAGAGGAATTGAAAAGAAATCTCTGAATTAATATTGAATTTGACGTGATTGACTATACTTATCTGTGTTAAATAATTCTTTTTTGAAAACTGTTTAAATAAATGAGGTGGACAAAAACATGTTATATTCGGAACTTATTTCGGAAAAATCATTAGGTGACTCTATCATTTTCTTTAAGGGTTTGTTTGGTTAGACAGAAAATTTTATAAAAAGTGAAAGTGAAAGAAAGTGAAGTGAAAGAAAGGAAAATTAAGTTTCTATCATGCATTTGGTTAGCAGGAAATATTTTGAAGAAAGTTGTAAGAAAATATTATTTTAGTAGTTTTGATAGCATGAAAAGGAAAAGAAAATGATTCTACTTACCAAAAATACCCTTATAATTTTAAATAGTAAATAAATAAATAAATTTATGTTTGATAAATATTATTTATACTTAATTATTTATTTTAGTAAGGAAATAGTGAAATTTTGAATAAAATAATATGTGATATCATAATATAATTTTTTTTTTTGTTTTCTCCTCTCTTTATATATTCACTTGTTTCTGTGTAAACTTGCATTCTCGATCTTTAAGGTAAGAAAAATAAGTTTTTGGTAAAGTGGACTATCAAAGTTTAAGTTTTTATTTTCTCTTTATGTTAGTTTTAATTTTATTTTTTATTATTTATTTATAAATGATGTAACTGAATACTAATGTCTAATTACAACTTTCTCACTAAGAAAATAAAGTCATAGACAGATTATGTAAACTATTTACGAATCGTCAATTATTTATTTTAAGATAATGTTTGATATTAGGTATGAAACAAATTGTGTTAAGATAATGTAGACTAGTTTTCACCTAACACTCTTATTATCAACAAATAGTTATGTATATATATAATAACTCTTAATCATTATCAATTATAGAAAAAAATATTTTACTTATTTAAGACATTTAAAAAAAAATGAAAAAAAATAATTCAGTAATAAAAGGAAAAAATTAATTAATTTTGGATGCACATATAAAAAAAAATACAAACAATTTAATTAGTAATACATGATTTTATAAAAAAAAGCAATTTACAGAAGAAATAAACTCTCATTTTCCAAATAATTCTATGTAATTAAGTAAAGAAGAAAAGAAATAACTAACATGGGTATAATAGGAAAGTAATATACAAAGTACACAATTTTTGTGAGAAAGTGAATTTCCCTATTTTTTTGCACAAAAAATTTTGAGAAAAATTTTTAGATGCGAGAATCCTACTTTCCCCAAAACTTTTACTTTCCCTCTAACCAAACTTCCAAAAAATTTAAATATTTTCCTTTTTTTTTCTTTTCTGGCTACTTGACGCTAACCAAACGGACCCTAAAGATACAAATTTCGAAGCCTAATTTAGAAAGTGAGAAGGGTGGAAAATGCATAAATGTAAGACCCTATTAATTAGTTGTATATACCTACCAATTTATAAATATATATATAATTTTTTTTTCCCTTTTAAAAAATACACACATTTCTTTATGGTGTGTTTGGATAAATAAGGGAGAAAAAAAAAATGATAGTATTAGTTATGAGAGAAAAAAAAAAAAGAAAAGAAAGAATATTAATAATTTTTATTCGTGTTTAATACATAGGAGAGAAAAGAAAATAAAGGATAATTATTCTTCTTTGAATAAGATAGAGGGGAGAAAAGAAAAGAAATGATAGTGACCAAATTACTGTCTTACCCTTACATAACCACTTCATACATTATCCATTTTCCAAAATCTTGTTTATTTTTTATAGTTCAATGCCATGGGTAAAAACAAAAGTAAAAAATAAAAATAAAAATGAAAAAGTATCACAAGGCTAAAATGAACCATTCAACATGATTGAAGGTAACAACAGTCTTTAACCTTTTTATGAGCACATGAAAAAAATATTTTTGTTGTATCTGTTATACCTATGCGACTCAATCCCTTTCTATCCTAAAATTTTTAATAACTTTTAGCATTTGCATTCCACTAAGCATATTGTGACATAAATGAAATTACTTTTCTATATATTGATTTGTAGAGGACATTGTTGGTATTAATAATTTATAACTTACTCCATTGTCATTTCTCTCCCTATCTTTTCAAATTGGGAGAGAAAATATATAAGGGATATCTCTCCCTATCATCTCTTCTCTCTCCACTTAACCCACTCAAACACTCTCACACTATCATCTCTTTTCTTTTCTCTTTCTATCCCTCCAAATCTACCCTACCCAACACACCTAGAATTTGAGGAGAGTAAAAAATGCCTAATTTGGAATGCGAGGATGTTGGGGTGGGCCAACAACTGCACATGGGTGGGCGGGACCCGCCACACCCTCTTATATTCTGTTTTATTTCTTTTTTTATTTGTTTTACTCAAAGTTCAAGCAAGTATACACATTGCCTCCAATAAAACTTCAACACTTCACCTCTCAAAAAACTTCAACATTTCACCTCGCCATTTTTGGAAAGGAGATATTATAATGAGTTAGTGTTCATTGGTCACGTTTTGAAAGCATCATTCTAAATGCAAAAACACTTTTACTTTTTTTTTTCCCCTTCATGGCTAAGGTAAAAATTTAGCCTCCCATCTCTCTCTTATACCTACCAAAGTTATGACGCTGTAGAGCAAATGTCTCATTTTAGTTCTAAAAAAAAGAAGAAAAAAACGAAGGGAGGGAGGGAAGGAGGGGGGACTCAATTAGAAAATTTAGGTAGTCCATTGTATTTGGACAATTAATTGCATGTAAAGTGCAACGGGTATTTAGTTTGTTTCTATGGCTATTAAATAGAGTTTTTTTTTTTCAAAAAAATAAAATAATAATTTAAAGTCTGAAAATCAGACAACTCCAATTACTTGATGTGACTTGGAAAGAGAAAGCAATCAAAATTTTAAAAACAAATAGGAAATTTAGGTAGTCTATTGTATTTGGACAATTAATTGCACATCAAAAAGTTTTGAAA